AGGTAAAAAATTTGATGGATTGTTTAGGATATATAGGATATTTTAGCAGAAATATGATTTCAAACAGGTCAGCGGAACACCTTTTTATGGGGTTTTTCCACGAACATAAGCAATCATGAGAGATAATAATCGATTTGGCCTTTTTGCATACAATGAATGCATATCCTGAATTGTAAATAATGGGCCATTGGACAATTTGATTCAATAACTGTTTCTCCGAACTTCGAGGGACTTTATAAACCCTTTTAAATAATGTGTATACGTACTGCAGTACTCTTTTCTCAGTCTGATACCAGGAGTAACTTTTCTCCCCACTTCTTGGTCTCGCTCTTTTCCGGTGCGAAAATCTTAGCCCCCTGAACCCAGTGCCTATTTATTTTCTTAGGACACTCCATATCCCTTTAGCAATATCTGCGGGACATAGAAAGCTATGACAATGTCACTATAATCTTTGAATTAATATATCAGAGCTAGTACAAATCAAGCTTTAGTCATTACTGATTTACAACATCACTCGTCCAATCGCCTTGCTTCATTGTCAACTTGACTGGCAAGACTTTCCACAAACGACCGACTGAACACAAGAATCAAAACAGTTATGTTGATGTGAATAGCCGCATAAATATTAGTAATAATAATCTACTTATTGATTGGATCGCTGTTCCATGACAAGAGCACCTTGTAATTTCATTGCAAGCTGGCTCTGATTAGTTTTAGAAATCTAGATCAAATGTTACATTCGTAGCACTCTCTCGTCTTTACTATTTAAGCACAGATCTCTACAACAATAATCAGGCTTGAAAGGCTGGGAAATTTATGATTCCCAAGACTTGAAATTAAAATAGGGCCTCCAATGGAGTTCAGATTGGTTTAAAGCTAAGGTCAAACTTTAAATTCTTGGCACATCCTTGACGCAGGTCCTTGCATGACAATCAGATAGCAGAGCTACCACTCGGAGCCCTCCATACCAACTTCAAGTTGTTAAACCTGTAAGTTAAACTCAAGGATTTAAAGATTAGCATGATAATTCTTTTTTTAATCTGCCCGCTAATTGCCTGCCTTTTCGCTATTTGCAAATTTCAAGCACAAATTTCTGCTGGCTGAAATGGCCCTTTTTTCATGGCAAACAAAACGAGGCCAGGGATGTTTACATACTAATTAACAAATCATTGCACTCTCTAAAGAAACCAACTTTACTATTTAAGCATAGATCTTTAAAAAAATAATCAGGCTTGATAGGCTGGGGAATTATCATTCTCCAAAGCAGGGAATAAAAAGTTTGATCCACTAAATTAAAATGCATGCAGTTGAAAGACTACATATCACCATGCACTTTGTGGTAAGAAATGAGTAGCTGCGCTTTCCAGTGGCGAAATGTACTGCTTGATATTNAAGTTCTCCAGCACTTTTCTAGTGAGAGTGTTTGATCTAGTGCTAACTGCTGGAATTCCCCTTTCCCAGTACACAGATAGACAAAACCCAGACACCTGCTCTCCCCTTTACCCCTTTATGACCTAGCACAGCCCTTTAGTATCTTTTTGACACAAAGAACATTGACGACACCACAAAGCTTCATGAAACAAACCTGTAAAGCGGGTAAAAGCCTAGCCCTAAGGAAAATTGCTTCGCAACATCTTGTTCTGGTATCGTACGTCAGCAAGACCAGTAAAAACCGGTACGATTAGCAAAATTGAATAGAAACGAGTAGCAAGGGTCAATATAGTTTTGGGAACGATTATGTAGCTAGAAAATTGCTTCCCTATAAACACCATTGGGTTTCTGTTCTATGTTAACCTATGACACTCACTACTTTAACCACAAACTGACTCTGAGCCTGAAATATTAACTTAAAACAGACCGTAATTTTAGGGTAAACTTATTTTTGTAGGTACTTACAGGACAATGAGATAGGAGAGCTACCAGCTGGACTCTTCAGTAACAACAGGAAGTTGACTGAACTGTAAGTAAAATATTCATGTTCCCGCTAAGTGACTGACTGTACGCCCTTTGCCAAACTTGTACTAAAAGAGACTTTGTTATTAATAGCAAGCAAAAGGGGGTCTGGGATAATTAAAAATTGGAAGCGGTAAACAAAGAATTAGCCATTGTTCCGTTCAACAGAGGACCAAAGAGCCAATACCTCTAGAGGATATGTGTTGATATTATTCCTTTAGAGGAAGGACCGTATTAATGGCACAATTTTATCTAAAATAAGAAAAAACAAAAAACAAAAAACAACAACAACAAAAAAGCAGGGTTTTAATAACCCATACAGCAAGCATTACATACAAATAACACATATGGAAAAGCAAACTAGCGTTCACCTTATGGAAAATGAAGGTTGAATTCACGGAAAACGC